TATATATATATACTATATATACTATATATATACTATATATATACTATGTATATACTATATATATACTCTATATAATATATATATATACATACACTGTTTACAATATACTATATATATACACTATATATAGTATATATACACTATATATAGTATATATATACTATATATAATATAGTGTATATATATACACATTATATATACATACTATATATAGTATATATATAGTGTATATACACTATCTACATACTATACTATTATATACATATTATATAAATATTATATACATATTATATACATATTATATATATATATGTGATACTATATGTACAGTGTGTGTATGTATATATATATTGTGTTTGTATACTCTATATATATACACTATATATACACTCTATATTTACTTTATATACATACTATACATAGTATACTTTATATATAGTGTGTGTATATATAGAGTGTATATATAGAGTATACTCTATATATAGTGTGTATGTATATATATACACTACATATATATATATACACTACATATACACTATGTATACACTATATATAAACACTATATATACTTTATATATATATACTATATATAATATAGTGTATATATATATACACATTATATATACATACTATATATAGTATATATATAGTGTATATACACTATATCCATACTATATTATTATATACATATTATATACATATTATATACATATTATATACATATTATATACATATTATATACATATTATATACATATTATATACATATTATATACATATTATATACATATTATATATATATGTGATACTATATGTACAGTGTATATATAGTGTATATATGTGTATACTATATATATACATATTATGTGTATATATATACATATACTATATATGTAAAGTATACTTTATATATATATACTATATAGAATATGTATATATATATATGGTGTACTTTATATAAATATATATATATATTGTGTTTGTATACTCTATATATATATACACTGTATATATATATAAACGAACTATATATACACTCTATATTCACTTTATACACATACTATATATAGTATACTTTATATATAGTGTGTATATATATATATATAGAGTGTATATATAGAGTATACTCTATATATAGTGTGTATGTATATATATACACTACATATATATATATATACACTACATATACACTATGTATACACTATATATACACTATATATACTTTATATATATATACTACATATACCTATATAGTGTATATATATGTGTATATGTATATAGTTGATGGCAACTTAAAAATGGAGCTCAATTCTCCGGGATTTCCAGGATCGGAATTTTTTCCCGCTCCCCAAAGGAATCGCCCAAGCGGGACGGTCCAGGTCCAGGGACATTGGGGCAGCAGGAATGGTTCAGGAAGGCAAAAGTCAAAGGAACCACAGAATCTTGGCCGATCCTCGGTTTCTGACAGATTTTTCGATTTTTCTGTGAACTTCTGGATGTTTCTGACAGATGAAATGTCGATCCACCCGGTATTTCCTAGCAGAAATGCTGATGTTTTTGTTGGGACCATCGAAAAAAAGAGGAATGGAAAAACCATGGAAATGTCGATCAACCGCCTACATGCTCAACACTTGAGGCTAGTGAAAATAGTGTTGGATTTGACGGATATACACTATATAATATAACAAAATAAGTATGATATATTATATACACTATATACACTAAATAAGTGTGATATTTTTGGATTCAAAAACAGAACTCCTTTCGGACACAGACGATCGACGAATGCTTTTAATGCTTTTCTCTGGCAGTACTTTTGTCAGGAATGAGGGAATGAGCATGTGGTCAAAGAAAGAAACTAAGTTCACCAAACATCTAATGGATTGTGATTATCCCCAGTCTATTGGGTAGTATAATCCCCCGACTAATCATCAACCAACAGGGGTTTATGACCCTCATGAGGATGGTTTTGCAAACTGACAAGTGGAAATGGCATGAATTCATCACTAGCTCTGGCAATCATGGCAATGGTATATACAGTAAATATTAAAAAATAAATGTATACATATATATATATACATTATAATACATGTATGTAAAAAGACATATACTCTAGATATCTGTAGATACTGTATCTATTTCAACATGTGTGGATTTTCCAAAATGGCAGTGTCGATCTCAATGATGTGAAAATGGACCCAGCGCCGGCCTCAAACATGTACCAACAGGGGATAAACAGTTCGACTATTGGTTGGCTTTATATCCAGAGGTCTTCTCTTGGTGATACCTGCATTTCCGGCACTTGATGCTGAAACATTAAACCGCGCTATTCTCTTAGATACCGAACCAAAATTGAGAAAAGGCCAAGCAGTTCATTAGTTACCTGATTGGTGGTTTCAACCCCTCTGAAAAATATGAAAGTAAGTTTGGATGATGATTCCCAATATATCGAGAATTCATCCAAATGTTCCAACCAGTTACAATTGGTCCAAAACATGAGCACATAGATGTCCAAAATTCCAACTGATTGGTTGATTCGTAGCTTCCGCCCATGAAAAACCACCAACAGGTAGACGATACATAATATACCAAACCGGCCCCTCTATTTGTCCTAAAACCAACAGGTACTGTACCATAGAAAGCCATAAGAATTGGGGGTGTATCCTGGTACATAGCAATAATTCCCATTCTTGTTGCTGGTTGAACCACAGTTTTGCCAAATAAATCACTGGTAAACGTACAAAAAAACTATGGGAAATCCCGAAATCCCCCATTTTTCATAGGTAAATCAACTATTTCTCACCATTTTCCAGTTCGCCATGTTACATTACCAGAGGCTAAATCACCATTTTTTCCAGTTCACCCTTCCATCGTTCACCGAAAAACCCCGTGCCGATCCGTCGCAGCTCCATGTCCAGAATCTCCTGCCGAGTGACTGGGTGATATGATCTCAAAAAAACACATTTATACTATATATATATATATCACTTATATAAATATGTATGTATATATATATATATATATCAATTATATAAATATGTATATATATATATCACTTATATAAATATGTATATATATATATATATCACTTATATAAATATGTATATATATATGTATCACTTATATAAATATGTATATATATTTATATATATATATATCACTTATATAAATATGTATATATATATATATATATATATATGTATATATATATATCACTTATATAAATATATATATATATATATCACTTATATAAATATGTATATATATATGTTCTATATCATTTATAATAGATCATCTAATATATATATATATATCATTTATATATCATTTATAATAGATCAGTCATCATTCATTTATCTAATATTGGATCTGATATAAATTATATAGCCTTATATACTGGATATTTAATGGATATGTAAGAACATATAGCTATTATACAACCATTGTTAGACCCCATAAACTCTTGGACAACTTTTTATACTCCTGGTTGATTGCATACCAAATAAGCATGTGATAAATTGCATAGCTAGCACCATAAAGCATTATATAGCTACTACAATTCGACAATCAACCTTATTGTACTGTAATTATGGTTGTTCGTTTATTCAGATGTTTATTTAGAAGTATAAATATTGTTAGACAATCATTGTTAGATAACCATTGAGCAGCTATAGATTATACCTAACTACCTATATTATATAATTTACTTAAATACCAAATCAACATACAGTAAACTGGATAGGTAGTGAGGTATGATAAAAGTTAATATCCAAATACTTACCTATGAAGAATCCAATAGCCTCAAAAAGTCTATATCTACTAGTAGTATATCCACAACATAATGGGTAATTTAAGTTGTATATCTTATATCCAGAATATAGCTGTATCTGGGTTCCTTATATACCAAATACTTTGAGCAAAAGCAAAATAATGGCGTGTGGGCATTATGTATCCATTTAGCTATTAGATAGTCGCCAAGTACTGTTGTTTAGACAACCTATTGTAACTTGGCTTGAATACATATTAGTTGTAACCAGGCTTTTTCTAGCATCTAATATATAGCCCCGTGTTCATGGTGATAAAGATTAGATGTAGCTAGTTCAAAGGATGTTGGTAAATAGGAGGACAGCAACCCTCCTTTACATGCTTTTTGGAACTGGACAAAATGTCTGGGAACATGTCATGTTTTTTTGCTAACCTTACCCCTACTAACCATGATTATCATCATTCCAGTGAGATCGCAATGTGATTGTGATATTCCCAGAGATAGTATAAAGCCCAACTAATGGTGTTTTAATGGAAGTTAGCATCTATATAATAATAGCCCAAGATTGGGGGTCATTTTGTATCATCCCAATTTCAAGGGGTATACCGGTCTGACCAATTTCATAAACCTGTTTTGGGGATGGTTTATAGCATTGGGTTTATGTTGCAATTTGGTATCATCATCTATGAATAGGTGATCTTTGCCATGTTAACTACTCTTGGGAACCCAGAGTAAGAAACGTCCATGCCACTTTTTTGGAATGGTTTTAATACGGTTTTAATAGATGCTGTAGCGTCCAATTAGCCGAACATAAAATGAACACGAACCTGGAACCTCTATTCGCCCGCAAGTCTAGGAGATGAAATTGCTCTAAAAGCTTCACAGAAATCGGACATGTTTGGAGTTCCCACAAGTACCTGAAATGCAAGGGATGTGTCCTGGGCATGGCGCCAAAACCGATGGTTTTGTAAATCCTCACTTTGTACCATCTGGTTATTTAACATAGTCATGGAAAATCCCCAACCATAAATGGAGGTTTCGTTCGCTGGGAAAATCATCTATTTCGATTAGGGCCATGGCTTCCATGGCTATGTTAACAAATAACCAGGTTGGGTAAGTTCAAGGATCCCCAGGTTTGAGATGGGTAGCCCTCAAAATCCAGTGGATTCTCATCACATGTCCAAAACCCTGGTGCCCAAACGGTGCCCAAACGGTACCCTATAATAGCTGGTTAATAGATGTTGATTCCCTAATAGGTAATTTGATCATATGATGCCATAGTTAATTGCTGTAATAGCCAGTAAATAGGTAATTGATGTAATAGCCATAGTTAATAGCTGGTGCAAAAAATATCTATGGTAAATAGATAATAGCTATGACACTAATGATTATTAATAGCTGGTTTTTCTGATTCCCCCAATCATATCTGGGTAAATTATACTATTTCACTAACCTGAATAGTTCGGCCAGCTATGGGGATGATTTCCCTAAAATAAACCATGATTTCCAGTGAGGGAGAACAGTGAGGTCGTGATGAAATTTACCCAGATTACATAAAAATCTATTAATCATATGGTTTTCATAGATAATATGCTAATTTCATCTATTAATCATATGGTTAATGATCTATTTTTTAATCTATTACCAATAGATAATAGCTGGTGAACGATTCCCCCAGATCATATGGTCATAAAAAAAAAAACCTCCCATATGGCATACGCTATCCGCCTGGTCGCTGATCTTCAATGGCATCGCTGCACCCTTGAAGCGGGCCTGAAGCGTTTTTTTGCGTTGAGGCTTGGGACATCCTGGGACTTGTTTTGTGTCTTTTTTTTGGCCCAAAATGGATAGATTGAAGTAAAACCCAATTTGAAATGGTGATGTCTGGTTATGGCTTCTTGTGGTTATCTAAATACTGCTACTTTTCTGGTTATTTAAATGGTTATTTATGGTGAATTTATAGTTATTTATGGCTTCTTATGGTTATCTATGGCTTCTTATTGTTATTCATGGTTATTTAAATACTGATTGTTCTATCTTTCGGGAAACAGTACAAGTATCCTGCCCAAAGAAACCCTCATACTATGGGTAAGTACATACATATACACCCTCTGGTAATTCAACATAGCTATTGAAAATCACAATTTTCTAGTGAGCAAAATATCTAGGAATAGGATGTTTTCATCCATTTTCCATAGCTAGGTTACATTTTCAGATGGTACATAATTGGGAATACGTCGAAATGATGCCAAACTACGTATGATTCAACATATTTCAAACCTTCTTGAAGAAATTCTGAAATGATGCCACATGTTTGGAAAATTTAGAAAGGAGACCATATTACCTTATTCCAATTCAAGCGAAACTATTTCGAAGTGGCGCTAAAGTTGTGCTTCTTGCCAGCAGAATGGCCCTTTTGGGCCGGAATGGCGTTTTCCAGCAACAAGTGGAATCTCTTGGTGGAAAAAGTGCCACCCCTAAGTTCCAGAAGTACAACAAACTGAACAAACTTGGACGGAGCTGGATGCAACCGAGACGAAAAATCGAAAACATGTTATAAGGATAGTACTGGAAAGACACATGGATACAACTTGATACAAATATGACAAAGAAAAAAACACTTAAGACTTGGGATATCTTGGGATATCTATCAAAATACAATGGTAGTTGGTTGTTGTTAGCCAAAAAAAACCCTATACTTTTTGGTCGGCCGGCTATCTTTTTTGACCGGATCTTCATCAATAATGACCAGAAGAACCCGAGTCGGAAGTAGGTAAATTCTGTACAGATCGTAGCAATATTACATAATCTTAAGCGTAATTCCATAGTCACCGAAACTAGTAATTATATAAGTAGTGTTGGCCTACTATTCTACAAGTGGAGAATCGCCTGATTTTCTATTGCGAATTGTTTCATTGCCAAAAGGGAATCATTATTAAACAGACATATCCTTTGGTTATTTAACGTAGCTGTGGAAAATGGCCCATTTATAGATGATTTATGATGATTTACCTATTAAAAATGGTGATTTCCCAGTTCGCTACGTCAAAAATAACCAGAGGCTACATGATTTCACCCATGCCAGTTCAATCCTCCATTGATACAAGGTGGTGCCCCAGTTTGTTAGCTAAGTTGGTGCAAATAAGTCCAATATCTAGGGTTGATTAGGGGGTTGTATCTCTAGTTAATGGGGATTTTAAACCAACGTTCACATCACTAGAGGGGCCCCCCACCTTTTTTCGGGATTCCCCTCATGGATTGTGATAAGCCAAAATGTTTTTTGGTTAGCAGAATACCCACAGAATCATCAACCAACAATCATTTCAATGGATTGGTTTAAGGGAAAATTTACAGGAAACCATAGATTTTCCCATTAAATATGGGGCTGTCCTGTAAATTTTCCCTTAATCCAATCCATTGATCATTTATCCGTCATATCCACAAGCATATACCCATATACTTTGATGGTTGCCACCCCGATTCAATCCCCCAACTAATCAACAACCAACCGGGGTAGATCGCAGCCACTGCGAAGAGACGTGTCCCTTAAGCGATGTCAGAAAAATCCGCTGGCCTCTTGCAACAGCTTTCGGACCTCAGGTCTTTTCGCAGGTGTCAAGTGAGGAAGAAACACTCAGAATTCAACGAAAGGTTAGGATTTATACGAGTCATACAAAGGACTCAGCTTTAACATGGAAATATGGATTTATAGTATTTCATAATGACTCATATTACATTAAGTTACATGAATTCATTAAGTACCAGTATATAAATCAATCCTTCTAGTCAGTAAATGCTGTGCAACCGGATTCCTACGGCCATGGAACTTGGATATGGGAAGTTGAATCATGTCAGTTTTATGACCTGGGAAATACCCTCTGGTAAACTAACATAGCTATGGAAAATCACGATTCTTAATGGGAAAATCAACTATAAATGGCCATGTTCAATAGCTATGTTAAGTTACCAAAGGGTAATCAGGGCCCTAAAGGGAGGCCGTTTCTTCAAGCACCGTCTTTCTCCTCGGCGAAATCAACCGTTTTTCGTGGGGGAAATCTTGTGGTGTTAGTTCTATCCCACTATTCCCACATATGTGTGTTTGTCTGAAAATATGATACCCCAACTTTAATCGATTCTCGTCAAATAAAATGGGGAATATCACATTTTCAGACACCCAAATATCATAGTATTGGTGAATATTGGTTGTATATCCCTGTTATATCCCCAATACATCCCCATATTGGTTGGTTAAATACCATATTCATTTGTTATATCCCCAGGTTGAGCGGTTCTAGCAAATGTCGTCCCTATAATTTCAGTTGGGCTTGGTCCACACTATTCCCAGATCTAAATCATCCAAAATTAGACCATTTAATCCCGAAACAACCACGGTGACTTAGGGATCCCATATTTTTTTTTCAGAAACCCCAATATCAATTGGTTGATCCTGGGCCAATTTTTATCATTCCCTAATACCTGAAATAAGACTATATTGGGATAATTCCCCTATACACTCACCATGATTCCAGGGTTCGGTCACAGTGCAGTCACTACAACCCAGATCCTTTTTTACGATCGGAGCTATGTCACCTAGATCCCTGGAAAAAAGAGGTCGCCTTCAGTAAATTCACATGGCGTTGTCTCAAAAATGCTGTGTATATGGAGGTTTCACCCCAAAATGGATGGTTTATAATTTTACGATGGAAAATCCTGTAAAACCATGGGTGATTTGGGGGTACCCCCATTTTCGGAACCTCCGTATAATTACATACCACAGTATATATATATGTATGCATATATATATATATACAATATATAAATATACAATATATATATATATATTCCCTCTAAATGACCATTGCAATGGGGATATGAATGATAATCCATTGGAATTGCGCCTACCCTTTTTGGCCTATTTTCAGACAAAGCCACCAGAGGACATGGAAAACCGCTTTGCCGTTTTGAAAATGATCATACCCTCTGGTAGTTTAACAGTTTAAGCTATTAAAAATTGGTACCATTTAGTTCGTTGATTTACGATTTAGCTATTAAGTTAAGGATGGTGATTTTCCAGTTCGCTATGTTAGTTTACCAGAGGGTAATCTTTGGAATATCCAGATCTATATATATATACATATATTGGTTTCCTGGAGGAAAACTATCTCGGCTAGCGATGACATATTCCGATTCCAGCCTTTCTTGCAACAGACAGTTTACCCTGAAAGTGACAGGCACAATATATGGCAGAGCTGATCAGAGATGTTTGGGAACCAGCTGCTCAAGACTTGACTTTTGTCATTTGAAGCCGATTCTATCGTTTGATCCCCAGTGTATCCATGTATCTTATCTAATTACCCTCTGGTAAACTAACATAGCTATTGAAAATTGTCATTTATAGTGGATTTTCCCATTAAAAATGGTGATTTTCCATAGCTATGTTAAATTACCAGAGGGTATTTCTAATTACTGTTGCTTAATGTCACACTTTGACCCACCACGCTGCCCAATTCGTGCGGCCCGGGGACCGTCTGAACCTTTCGTTCCAACAGACGTCGCTGGGAGCCGTTCAACCAGTGCCGGGGTCCACGACTGGTCACACGGAACCAGACGCCCACTGCAGCCTATGACGGTTTTTAATGCTGCAGCCAGGGGTTTAGCAAACCATTGGAAGAAGGGATTGTAAACCATGGTACCCTCTGGTTATTTAACATAGCCATGGAAAATAGCCCATTTATAGATGAATTTCCCATTAAAACCTCCATTTATAAGGGATTTTCCATGGCTATGTTAAATAACCAGAGGGTAAACCATGGTTAAAGAATGAACAAACCATGGTTCAAACCTATAAAATATTTGGAGATGGCTGAAATCCCAGCCATATTATGGTGATGGGGATGCATCACCATGGATCTGGCACTGGACCCAGGCTGGGAGGGTCTTCACTTGGAAATGCCAAGAGATTTCTCCCCTGAAACCAGGTGTTTCATCCAAACATGGAAAAAAATGAAAATAAATCCGAAATAGGTTTGAAATTAATTCTTTAAAAATTTGGTACCCAAGGGTACCCTACTGTAATCATCATTAACCCCAAGAAAACGCCACTGAAATATGGAAGTGAGGGGGTATAACACAGTTTTCAGACACACTTAAAAATATCATAGTATTGGTTATATCCGTCTTATATCCCAGATACATTCCAAAAAATTGGTTGGTTGAAGACCATAATCCTTGGATTTCCTTGGTTTTATATCCCCATGTTGATTGGTACCAAATGTCGTCAGAATTTCAGGGTTCTCCGGCTTCACCTTGGAGCCAGGGGATGAAGATCCAAAGTCTTCAAGGGGATCTCCCAGATAGGCTTCGAATGGAAAAAACTGTGAAACCATCTGGCGCAGTCCTTGAAATATCAACGAACCTCCATGGCACACCAAGAACTCCCCCAAGTCACAGGAGCAAAAAAAAAAACATGATTTTCTTGGTTATCCCTTATAGGGACCCAAAAAAAAACAAAAAAAAAATCCAGGATGTAATGGAACATTAGGGGGGGTGCTATACACTATTTTTTAATATAGAAAGGATTGTTGATGGTCAAATCACATTGACTTCGTTCCCTCCATACCCTCTGGTAAACTGACATAACTATGGAAAATCACCACTTTTAGTAGGTAAATCAACCATAAATGGGCCATTTTCAATAGCGAACTATTGGTCTACCGGAGGGTACCGTAACTTTCATTGTGACAGTTCCACCCCCTTAACCAACGATTGCGGGGATGCCCAAAACCAGGTGACGAGTTTGGGCGACACCAGCTTCTGACGCGCATGAAGGAGGCCTTGGCTGCTATGGCGAATGGGATGGTGACTATGGCATTGGGTTTATCGCAGTATTTCACCAATCTTCATTAATCATCATTGATCATCAATCATCAATCATCATTAACCATCATTAATCATCAATCATCATTAATCATGAATCATCATTTATCATTAATCATCATCAGTCATCATTAGTCATCATCAATCATCATTAATCATGAATCATCATTAATCACTAATCACCATTAATCATCAATCATCATAATTAAACATTAATCATCAATCATTAATCATCATTAATCATTAATCATCATCAGTCATCATTTATCATCATCAATCATCATTAATCATTAATCATCATTAATCATTAATCATCATTAATCATCATTAATCATCAATCATCATTTATCATTAATCATCATTAATCATCAATCATCATTTATCATTAATCATCATTAATCATTAATCATCATCAATCATCATTAGTCATCAATCATCATTTATCATTAATCATCATTAATCATTAGTCATCATTGATCATTGATCATCATTAATCATCATTGATCATTAATCATCACTAATCATTAATCATCACTAATCATCATCATCATCATCATCATCAGCAGCAGCAGCAGCAGACTAATGATGTGATAAACACAATGCCGTAGACTTCCTGTTTCGTAGGCTTGGAATATGTTGGTTTATAACACCCATTGAAATTCGTTTGGTGATGCCATGGGGACGGTTTGTTTGGCAAATGGCTTCATGGTCCCCTCTGACACACGGGAAGCGAGCGAGGAAACATGACATGTCCAGTGACCTGAATCCCATCCCCGGATGAAATCCGCGACATCCGCTGGTAATGACGAACCGTTTGCGAACTGGAAAATAGCCTACTTAGTTCGTTGATCTACCCATTCAATGGTGATTTTCTATAGCTTTTTGTATGTTTACCAGAGGCTAATCACAAAATCCTATTTCACCTCCCCCGTATGAAATCCCGAAATGATTTCGGCAAAATCCCTACACCCCATCTCCTCCCTATGAAATCCCTTACAGAAATCCAGATCCGAGATCCCATTTGGTTACATGTTGATCCATTCCCATAGTGGATCCATATAGATCTACAGTATTCCAATGATATTCCTGCAAAATTGTCCCATTTATTCTTGCTAAATCGCATGGTGCCACTCATCATACTTCCTATCCCAACGGAATCCCATGGAATCCTAAAATAGCTAGCTATGCGAAATCCCCAAAAAAAATTGTCTAATCCATGGACTGTTGTAAAATCATGTTAAATCATATAAATCCAATTATTTAGTTGTACTCATCAAAAATCCAAAAATATATATATAAGGATGGGATTGGATGGGATGATGCAACACCTATTATACCATATTTTGGGGGTGTGAACATCCATTTAGCAGCATAGGCTATGACTATGACTTGGGGTACCATCCAGGTGCTATGGTTTTGACAAAAATAGCCATATGGAGGTGTTCTTAAACCGGGGGGTACCCCAAATCATCCAGTCGTCATTAGACCATTTTAGTATTGAAACCCATGGTGACTTGGGGATCCCCCATTTTAGGAAACCTCCAAATCATGAATAAATCCCAGTTAATCCAATTTTGTTGGTTAAACCACCATCAAAACACCATCAAATCTTTATGATGTTCCACCATATGAATGTGATTACACTTGGATGTGCATCCCACTGAGTGTGTGGTTTTTAATCCATACACAACCCCATCTGATTCATATATAAGTGGGGGTATTCTATTCATCTAACTGGGGGGTATAATTTATAATCCATTTGCTAAGTGGACCCCCCGCACTTAGCAAAGTAATGCATCCATATCCCCATGAAATCGTCATTAAATCCCATGAAATAGTCCCCCTTAAAAAAAAAAACTGTGAATCCTTAATTTTCATGGCTATATAACTATATATGATATATATATAGCTACATGCATATGTATGCATATATATATATACATATATATATATGCATACATATGCATGTAGCTATATATATATATATATCCCCATGGTTAATCCATCTCCCCTGAAAACCCATGGTCAATCCCCGGATTCCATGGTCACTCCCCCGATGCCACGACGATCCCAGCGTCACAGCACCGCCGTCAGCGCGCAGCGGCGGTTCTCTGGCTCCGACAGCAGCTCCGCCGGGAAGAGCTGCGCGGCGCTGAAGCCCTGCCGGAGAGCACCACGACCAACCGGGGCACCAAGCTGGAACTGGGGGGTCACCCAGAAAAATGGGGATTGAAACAAGAAAAATGGTGATTTAACATGAGGTAGCATGATTTAGCATGACTCCACCATATAAAATGGTGGTTTTAAGCGATTTAAGCAACAAAAATGGAGATAATAAAATGGCGATAAACCTGCAAAAGCCACGGTAGTATGGGGTTCACAAGCGACATAAGCACAATATTTCACGGGGACCGGTTAATGGTGATCTATCTAATCAATCAAGAATTGCGAGGAGATATTATACTGGGGATATAGAATCAGAACCAGCAACATGATACATGGCTTTGCTGATTTGGAGCACAAAAAAATACAAAAAAGTCCCTTTAGATTCCCCAAGTGGTGGATGAGATCACATTCAGCACACCGATTTCACAAACTACATGGAGATTAGCCAAGAAACCAAAAAGTAAAGACATGCTCACAAAACGTCCGATTGAAGCAATGAAAATGTTGATTGATTTTGAAGTTCACCAGTCAAAGTAGGTAGAAACAGGAAATCATCATCATGATATGTTCTGGGAACATCTGATGGGATTTACCATGAACCAACAGGACTGTCTAGAACCAACATGAGCTAAAAACCATCGGAATTCGTTGGAACCTTAGATCGACCCAAACAGGTTTGTGTCATCACGCCTCGTTTTACATGCTACTACTGTGGATGGTTGCGAAATTCTGCACCACGTGATATATGGTAAACATCCCATTTTTCAACCATCCAAGGTGATGCAGGATTTCGCAACCATCCACAGTATCACAGCTACATTTTGTATACATCCCGTATCCCGTATTTTGTCGTGCACGTTCCATTGTCTTAATCCGGTAATCCAACACGTGCTGGAAAATCCTGCATCTTCGATAACTCTGCCGTTGAAATGGCTAGACATCTAGGTGCCCAGCCATGTTTGATGACACCGTTGCGGGTAAACCAAGAGTTATCCATTGATGATCCAATTATCCGTTATTGTTATTACCAGTAGTAGTTATATACACATATACCCATGATACATCCATAACATGGCCTTAAGTTCGATTAGTTCTATTCCCCACGGATCATCAATGCCCAGAGTCACGGCATCTCCAGGCCTTGTCCGTGCCCATCTGGGACTGGCCCGGCAGACACCAAGTGAGGGCGTTCTCCGTGGCAATGTCGGAGCCTGTCACAGGGACTGCCATGACCTGCCGGGACCTGGTGACTCAAAAATCCCATAGGACCCGGTGGGTCAACCAGAAACAAAATGCTGGGTGAATGGATATGAATGGGACATTATTCTGATAGAGAGTGGTAGATTAATGAATGAGAATGGTGCTATATATATAACCAACAATGATGAATAACTCACGGATAAATCATGGATAATTGATAGATAGTCAATAGATCATTGGATAGATAGATTGATGTAGGATCACCCTGGTTGCTGCTTATAAACTGAACAGTTCCCATACCGGGATGGTTCTGGACCGTCTTCACCATTCTTCAGCATCACCATGACAAGTGTGAAATACTAAGCACTGTGAAATAGCCATCCCTCTATCATTCCATGAAATACTGCTTGGTTAAGAACGGGATTCCCCGTTCTTGGATTATTATCATCCCCATATATATCAAGGGTAGTATAGTCCCCAATCCTCAACCCTGCCAGGGCTTTTGAACACTGCTCAACTGTGATATCACATTTTGGGCGCCTACTACCCTCTGGTAATTTAACATAACTATGGAAAATCACCATTTATAGTGAATTTTCCCATGATAAATTGCGAATTTCCATAGCTATGTTAGTTTACCGGAGGGTGCAGTATAGTGCCAAATCAATTGGTTTCGCACTAAGGGTAGAACCCAAAAAACTCAGGGGCTTGGACTTGGAATCATCCAAGAACGGTGGAACATCAGTAACAAACCAGAAAATAACCATGGGAATGATTCGGCATGGTGTGCGGTGGGAGAAAAGTTGGAATATGTTGGAATATTGCCACGCATGGATATTATCAATGTACTCTATACAATTATTAATGATAAGTGTATAGCATATGTACATATATATATATATATGTGATGCATAGAAAACAGTACGTATATATATATATATATGATATATGATGCATGGTGAAAGACATATCCTATGTCAGTTGTATTCATAGGTGGTTACACAAGACGTCCAACAAAGGATGCCCTAGTGATGCATGGTTCCACCCACAAAGGCCGAATATGGGTGCCACATGGAGGTTTCCAATCCATGGGGGTACCCCAAAATCATTCAAGTCATGAGACAGTTTTAGTATTGAAACCTATGGTGACTTGGAGATCCACGATTTCGAGAAACCCCCATAAACTTTTTGCTGCTTCTCTTCCACTATATCCTGATTCCCGATAACATGGTTGGTTTGATGTGGGTATATATTATATACCAGCTTAAGTTCATAGTTATCTGGATAATTAACGGGACTTAATTGCCCATGTATAAAACCACCCAAATAACCAGTTCAGTTCCTATCTTAATCAACTCCCAATGAATTCCCTCTCCATATATCTCCAGTATATCTCCATTACCCTCTGGTTATTTAACATAGCCATGGAAGCCATGGCCCATAGAAATAGATGGTTTACCTAGCTATAAAATGGGTGGATTTGGCAAACTGTGAATGTCATAACCAGAGGGTATATCCCAACAGAATATCCCCATTCAATCACCATGAAATCCGGATTTCTCCACCGTTTTAATCGGCAGCTTCCACAGCAGCCCAGGGCCTGGTGCGAAGCTTCGTCGAGCGCGAAGCCCCAGGCCCTGGAAGTTGGAGCGGCCCAGGCACAGAGCCGGTGGCAAGATCCTGCCGAGCCAGGACTTGGCCGACTTGGCCAATGGGATGAGGAGCCAGGGATAAAGAAATTGGTGGATTTTTCAGCAAAAAGTTGGGGTGATTTTTCAGCAACCAAAAGTTGGGGTGATTTGATACAGCAACACACTCCAACTTGGGTTGCTTTTTTCATGGGATTTTTTGGGATTTTGGGGTGGACAAAAACCAGGAATGGTTTTTGTCCATCCCTATTCAAGGGCCATCTACTTTGGAAGAATGGTGATCAGTTTCCAGAAACACAATTTTTGTACCTGGGAAACTGTTGCCCAAAAACGGTTGGGAAACAATCCCCATGTTGTTGGCTATGTACGTATTTAATGTGGTAAGCCCTGTAGGAAACTATCCCCAACACTCATCAGAAACGGCTTGTTTTTTCAGCCAAAATTGGAAGTTTATTTTGCGGGGCTCACCACATTATGGTTTTAAACATCAGAGATTTGGGTTTGGGGTTCAGCACATCAACTAATATATACCTTTTTCTTGATTCATCATAAATCCTAGGTACATATGATTTTTTCACCATGGCGGGAACCATCGAATTTCGGGTTCTAAAACCACCACCACAAATTTTCGGCCCAGGCTTCATCTACAGTAAGTACAGCAGTAAAAATGTACTGCTTGGAGAATAGGATTCCCCGTGATCAGGATTCCCCACTTGATTCATAGGTTAGATTTGCTTAGTTTTTGACCCCCTATAAATAATCATCAACAGGGGGGTTGAAATCTGCAAAAAGGTTGCTTGATATAGGTCGAATCGGAAATCCCAATCTGCGCCAGTTCTTGCTGATCAACTCCCCCACACGCCAGTTCTTGCTGATCAAATCCAACCATTACCATCTGGTTATGACTAACAGTTTGCCATGGAAAATCCACCCTTTTTAAATAGGTAAACCATCTATAAATGGGCCATGGTTTCCATGGCTATGTTAAATAACTAGAGGGTAAATGCAGTTTTAATCCCAATTTCTGCTAAAAAAAAATGGACGAAATTCCCATCCGTGAGAGTTTTCCATGACCATGTTTTGCCTGGTGAAAGCCGAATTTTTTCTCTCCACCCACCGAGCCGAAAAAAGAGCCGCGCCAAGCTCCTCTCCAGCATTGCCAAGTCATTGGGATCTATCTCGCAGCCTGATCGAAATCTTGAGATTTCTAACATATATTTCAATACACTATGTATGTATATATACACTATACATGTATTGAACATGTCTGTAATGTGGTATTATCATATATTCAACATGTTTATTCTAAGTATATAGTATACTCTATATATACATATATATATATAGTACTATGTAGTAATATATATATATATATAGATAGTGAATAAGTATTTATAGTGGATTGACCCATTAGAAATGGTGGTTTTCCATAATTTTTTGTATGTTTACCAGAGGGTACAACAAAGACTTCTGCGTCATGTGCGACCTCAGAAATTCAAGCATTGCCATCTTCAGGGTGCGATAAAAATATCTAGATGCGATAAAAAATATCTAGAAACCCTCCGGTGTCATCAAACGTGGCTAGCTGCAATAAACCTCCGCTTAGTTCAGATACAATGGGTATATAACCAACAATAGCGAGAGGGGTAATGAACTAAACCATGTTACATGTTAGCTATGGTAATCAACAATGGTAAATTACCATTAGATATGTTTTCTAATCGTGGAATACCATGGGGTGTTGTAACATCCTAGTCTTGCGTGCCCTGAGCCGAAGGGTTCTTAGCTGTTAGTTCAGTGTATATCCCCAGAAAAAAAAACAAAGGAGAAAAGTACTCGAAGTA